GAGCTGGTGGCTGTGCCGGAGGGTGCTTTCCACTGTGAGTGACAATGACACCCCTAAGCTGCCCCATGAACGTGGCAGAGCCACGAGGCTGTGCGTGGGTGATGGAGGCTGCCACAGCAGCAGGATGCTGTGGGTTACCTTCTCCTCAGTAGCGGCCAGCTGCTTAAACAAACAAAATGAAACCCTCTGCTGCAGATAAGGAGAGGAAATTGCTGAAGTACTTCAGTTTTGAAGCAGTTTCTAGGCCAGGCAGGGTGGATCTGGGGGCAGACAGGTCCTGGGGACATAGGGAACCTCCCATGCCTGCTGATGCTTGGGGCTTGGTGAGAAGGGAGGTGGCCGGGTGGTTACAACACTTAGCACAGCGTGCACCCATGGAATAATGACCTGGGTAATCTGGAGCACCGCTGTGACCCCAAAGCAATGGGACTGTTCAACATGAAACTGCAAAAGCAGCAAAGTCACAGGAAAAGCCTGTGGGCACCCGCCACCTCCAGTGACTTGGGAGTGACCGGGCTGCCAGCCAAGGGCTTCTGATCTGAAAGGGAGCTGGTGGCCTCCCTGTGCAGTGTGGTGTGCTCAGGGGAAACACCTGGATGCCCAGGGCCACCACTGCCGGGATGAGCTGCCCCCAGCTTTCTCAGCTGAACGCTTTTTCCAACATTTCTGACTGGAAGAGGCATTTCTCCTGTGCTGCTGCAGAGGGAACAGTTCCTGGGCCTCTGCCCTCCAACATGCCAATGGGATGAGTAACACTGTGACGAGGGTGTGTCCTCCCCCTTCATTGGGCTTCAGTGGCAAACCTCAGTTCAGGGACATCAGCTGTTCCACCCTTGGTGACTGTCAGTCGTAAGAATACTTTTCTAGATAAGCTTTTATTTATGCTGCTTTTTTTAACGGTATAGAAAGTTCTAGGAGCTCAAACACACGCAAGGGGCAGGACCAGTCCTGCCCAGGGTGGGAGGAGCGAGCAGGCTCTCTGTCCTACATGGGAGGAGTTTGGTACCTGGGCAGGAGATGCTGCTCCTGGTTTGTCAGGCCCAGAAACTGCACTGGGCTCTGATCCATCCTAGGTTTGTTTTGGGGGTTAGTGTCCCTCTGGCCCTTGTCCAATATAAGGTGCTGGAGAGATTCTCCTGGCACAGTGTCTATCTGCTGTCTTGAGCTGCAGAGTAATATCGTGCTTTTCCGTAACGTGTAGTACTCCTCGATTAGGTACAAGCTGAAGACCTGCTTCTTTAAGAAAGCTTAATTTAAAATGTAGCAGTTTCATGCATATGTATGTATATTTATTTTCCTGTGCAACCCCAGGCTTACTGGACCCTGCTTCCTCTCCTTCCAGGCAGTCACTTACTACTCAAAACAGTCAAAAAAAAGGGCCCCAGCCCCCTTTGTGTGCCCTGTTTCCCTTTGGGCCACAAAATGCTTCCAGGACCTGCTCTGCCTGAAGGCAGAATGAGAATGAGCCACAGGAAAAATCAAGATCACCAGCAAAGCCCTTTAACTTGTGTTGGACTTTTGCTTTCAAATTTAAGTTTAAATTTAAATTTTGCCTGTGTTCTTGAAAGGGAAAGATTACATGGTTTCTGCATGCAGACATCTTCATTCATGCCATTTCACTAAAGACATAGGAGAAAAGCGGCTTTTTTTTTTTTTAAATAGCAGTGCTCAAACTGTGCTACAAAGGTTTGAGAGGTAGAAAGAGCAGATTCCTTTCTCTGTCTATAAAACTTCTGTCCAAATCCATTCCTGTGCGTGCAGCTCGTGTGTCCCGGCGGAGCTGTGAAGGAGCCCAGCGCGGTGGCTGGCGTTCTTGGCCGTGGTGTTGGAGCTGAGAGCAGGGGCTCTGGCTGGGCTGGGAGGCAGATCACTAATGGGAGCTACTAGCGAATTTTGCATGTGCCTGTGCGGTTGCAGCTGCCTGTAGACTGACTAAAATGCCAATAGTGCGTAATCCTCAGGATTTATAACAGCTTGGAGGTGGCAGGAGCAAGGAGGGCTCTGTTTGCTGCTGCGTATTCCCCATGGGGGCCCATTGCAGCTGAGGGGCTGGGCGGCCTTTGGCGAGGAAGTCCCTGGATTTCTTGTGTGGAGGAAATCGTTACAAACAGGATGTTTGCTCCAGCCCTGTTCCAAGCTGCTGGCTGCAGACCCCACAGCAGGTGCTCAGACCTCTTTGCATGGACCCCAGGCAGGAGGAGGTGTGAGTGCCCCCCAAGCTCTAATTAGCATGAAGAAGCTGGTTTCAGGTTTTCCACATTGGAGCGGAGACCCCCGCAGGTCTCATATCTTTGGCTCACAAGACCTTGGGAGCTTTTTTGGGACAAGATGTGTGAAACTGCTGTTTTGTGGTGCTGTTGGGGCTCCACAGCGAGCCCCGTGAGGGGTGGCAGGGCATTTGCTGGGGCCAGCTGAGCATGGTGGAACCGAGCCCGATGTGGCGTTGAGAGGTGAAATGCAGTGCTGAGGTTGGCACTGTCACTGCAGTGGTGACTGCTCCAGCCATGCCTTGGGGATGCCTCAGTGAAGGTGTTGTCAGCCCATACATCAGTGGTAACCATGCCTCCATGGTAAAATGTTTTTTAGGCTGGCTCTGCTCCTGGAAGGAAGTGCGAGTGGCGTATGAGCTATGGGATTGCCAGTTCCATTTGTTTAAATCAGGTTTTCTGGGCTGAAATGAGCCCATTAGGTTTTTCTATATTCAGACTATGTGGCCCCACCCATAATTATTCTTTGGCATCTCTGCCCTTGTTGAAAATGCATATTTTTGTGTTTTCCATATTTCCCATATTCCCAATGCCTGGCTTGCAGCCTGCTGTGCCTTCATAAACATACACGGTCATGCTGGTTCAGATGGGCTGATTTCCCTAACTTTCTCATTGCTAGGCTATGAACCAAATGAAACTTTGTGAGAAGAAATGCATCCCACACAGATCCAGAGCAGGGTGCATTGTGCTTGGCCCTTCCCCGTTTAAAATCTCAGTGTGTGTGTGACCAAAGCACATTTTGGCTGTGCCACTGGTTGGAAACCTCAGCACAGCATCTGCCCCCAGGGAGGGACAGACACCACATTGGGTTCCTGGGGGTCTGCTGTCCAGAGCAGCTGTGGCTGCCCTCCAGCCAGCTGCCCTCTGTGTTTGTCATCCCAAATTAAAATTGTTTGGGGGACACAGAGAGGCAGAAGCTGTAAAGCTGCTTGCTGAGCATTAGCAATGAAAGCACCTGGGGCCTCTGGATGGCAAAGGCTGCGTTAGCAGCTGATTCGGGCTCAGTTATTTGAAGTTTTGAGACTGTTTGTGATACTCAAATTTGTATGGTATCAGGTCTGCGCTGTTCTGCAGCCGCTGCAAATCCTGCACCGTGGGTTCTGGTGACGCAGCCAGCAATGGCTTGCTCATTGCTGGTCTGGGCTAGCAGCAGGTCAAATGGTCTGGCAGAGGGCAGGCCCCACAGGTGGGATTGTGCTACCATTGTAGGGAGGTGCTGTCACCAGGCTGGCTGTGCACCATGCATCCCCTCAGCCTTGAGAGCGAGGGAAAGCCCTTGCCCTTCCACTTGGCAGGTTGGCGTTGGTATGGGGCTTGTTTGGGGTTTGCTTCTGGCACATTGGGCTCTGTGGAGCCCCAAAAGGGCTGGTGTCCACTGGTGGTGTTAGTCTGCTCTGATGAACATGATGAGGAACACTGTAAAAATAATCAGTTGAAATGAGTCGCTGAGAGCTGCACTGGGGTGATGGTGGGGCGCAGGGATCCAGCGGGGACCTCATTGTCCCCCCTCTGACTCTGGGACCTCGGTCAGTTCTCACAGAGCAATTCAGGGCTTGCTGTGTCCCACCACCTGATCTTGCTCCCCCTTCTCCTCCAAAACAAAGCAGTTGTGTCTTCCACCGAGGTCCAGGTATAGTAATGGCAGGACAAAAGGGCTGCAGGATTAGGCCATGGGGAAGAGGGAGCTTGAACCTTTACCCCTCAGCTCCTGGTCCAGTGCTTAGAGCAGCGTTTAATAACATGACCTCCACTTGAAGGGCTGAGAGAGCTGTGCTGGTAAACACTGCCTTGGGTTTGCTCAGTCGTTGTCCTCAACATAAACTCTGGCATTTCACCTCTCTGGTATGTTGCCCTGTGTCACCTCGACAAGGAGAAGAGCCTGTTGGGGAGGTGAAGCATCTCTTGTCCCTCCTAACCCTTGGCTGCTTGGAATTTTAACCTGTTTATCTGAGCAGAGTTTGTCTGAGCTTGTGCAGAGGTGAGGTGGCAGAGGACCTGCGTCCCCCCGGTGCTGGGGAAGGGCCCAGCCGGTGGGTGCTGCCCACGCTGTGGGAGTGTGGATGGGCAGAGGGGGCCAGGCAGGCGGATGAGGGGAGCTGGCAGGACTCTGTGCCTGTCCCTAGCAGAGAAACAGCAACATATGTTTCCCTCAAACTGCTCAAAATCAAGAGAGCAATGAACTACTGAGCAATGGGAGAGGGGAAAACAAAAATAAAAGAAATTAAAGACCCAACAGCCCTCCCCATCTCTCATCTGCCAAAGAAAATCCTGCCTGATTTCTGCCGGCCACGTCAGCTCCCAGCTATGACAGCTATCTCATGCTGTTGGCAAGATGCTCCCTGGAGCAGCCCTTGCTCCAAAATGCAATGGGAAGAGATGTAAACAGAGAGGAAGCTGGAGCTGAAGCTGGCTGCTCAGGGTGGGTGTCCAGGTACAGGGTGCAAGGCAGGGCATGACTGCTGGGAGTGTCGCAGTGATGGGGATGGTCCCTCTCTGGTGGCTGCTGTGGGCGGTGTGCGGGATCTGGCCCCAGGGATCTGGTGATGGTTTGTGCTGGGGATGCCTGGGGGACATGTCCTGTGGAGCACTGAAGCCTCTGCATATGGGGCAAACGGGCAGCTTTGCAATGAAGGGAGGCAAAACCCAACGTTTTTGTCTCTTCTTCCCTATTCAGTGGGCTTTGCTCAGTGAGACGCGGACTTGACTTTAATTCCTCTCTCTTTGTTTCCCCAGATCATGATTGAGTTCTGCCCAGGCGGGGCGGTGGATGCCACCATGCTGGGTGAGTGCAGTGTGCGGTGCTGGGCTCTTCTCTGTGCTCGGGGCGATGCCCGTGAGGTGTTTCCAGCCTTCTGGCATGCACTCAGGGGCAGCTGTAGGACAGACAGCAGGCGTGGGTGCCCCAGCTACTCCAGCTACCGTTTCTCTCCCATATGAGCTCCTATTTTCATACCCGGAGCAGAAGGTGTGGCAGCCTTGGGGCATTTCTTAAGCTACTTTGATGTTCTTTTGTGATTTAAATGCTGCTGGGATCGCAGATCACAAGGCATGGGGAGAAGAGAGTGTGGCTGCAGGGGAAAGATAGTTTTAAATATTCATCTGCTGGAGGCACGGGGTGCTTGGGATCCTGTTCCCACAGCTTCCCGGGAAGGGCAGCAGAGCTGAGATGTTTAATCTGAGTGCTGTCATGATGAATCTCCCAGGATCTCCTTGCTGACTTCTCCGTATGGTATCAGTCATCTGGTGAACCAGCACAAGCAACTGAATAAACTACAGTTTGCAGCAATTCCAGGAATCTTCCCATTTTTAACTCCTCCCTTGCACATAGAGCCACTGGGACCGGGAGCATGTGGGTGTTCCCCAAAACAGCCCTGCCTGGTGCCCCAGCCCCTCTGTGCTGGGGCTGTACAGACCCCGGGGAGGTGACGTCATCTCTGACGTCCTCCTGCCTGGAGCCCCTGGTACAGAGCCGCATCTCTCCGGGGGTTCCTCCCTTTCAGCTCTGATATTTCCAAAGGCCTCTGTTTATTTCCAGAAGTATGGACCCAAATTTGTCATCTTTGATTCAGCCCCTAAAACTTGTGCCTCTGTTAGGGATCTTCTTTAAAGCAGGTCCAGACCACTGCAAGGAAAATACCTTTGCTGGAGGAATTGGTGCCTTGCTCTGGAAAACCTCAGCAGGTGTGCACTGTCTCCTGGGACACTCAGTGCCCCAAGTGTTCCTGGGGCCATGTCCATGGCAGTTGGTGTCTGGAGGATGTGGGAGCTGGAGTGGGAAGGGGGTGCTTAGAAAACTGTGAGCAAGTGGTCTGACTGCAGTGCTGTCACCCCCCAAATGAGGGGCAGGAGGAGCCACAGGTTGGAGCTCAGAAGTGCTCTCAGCATTATTAAATTCACTTATTAAATTCAGAGTTGCTGCATGCTGCCTGTTCCACCTCCCCATCCCCTCCAGCAACCGGCATTTGCCTTTGAAATTTTTTGTACAAAACCTGTGGTCTGCTGCACCTCACTTTTGCTCCAGGGAGACTGAAAACTATCAGCTTCCCCCAGAGCAAGGGAGATCTTGGTGAGGAAGAGGAGGGACAAAGTGGCTGACCCCGCATCCTCCAGGCTTGTGGACAAGCTCCTCGCTCTGCATGAGCATCTGTCCCAGTTGCTGGGGTCCATCTGTCAGCTCCCATCCCAGCACTGCAGTTTGGGCAGCTGGAGTTGTCTGAGGCTCGGTTGGCTCTGCTGCGTGCTCAGCTGTGCTGGAGGAAGGGTCTGCCCTGTGAGAGGCTTGCAGAGGGAGGGAGGGGAGCTCAGACGATGCTAACCATCTGGAGGTTTGATGGTTTGCAGAGCCGTTGTCTTGGAAAGCGGTCTCAGATGGTGAAGGTAGCTGGGCCGAGCTCTGCAGGGAGGTCATGCCAGTGGTCGTGTGTCCCCGCAAGCTGCAGAGATAGGGACAGACAGCGGGGTATGAACTGCTGTGCTGGTACCTGATGCTGCCTGAAAAGCCAGCTTGAAGCAGTGCATAGAGATCACACTGGTCAGCATTTTACTGCTTGTGCTTTAGGAGGTGGCATGTCCCTGATGCAGGGATGGTGCCCTGCGGGATTAGAGCATGGCTGCATACAGAGCTGCTTGAGCGTCCACCCCTGTGTTTGACCCCACTGCAGCTGAGTTCAGCTCCCTCCTCTCCGCAGCATCGTCCTTGCACCCCAGCTTGTCTGCAGGACCAAATTGGCAGGGAAATTGCAGGCGGGCCTGGCTCCCCCTCCTCATCCCCTCATCCACTGGTCCTGGCCCAGATGTCTCGGCCTCAGCTGTGCATCCCCTGGAGGGAGCTATAAACCAGCAGCTCCAAGCAGGCAAGCGTTGTGCTGCGAGTGCTGGCTTAAGGAATAAATTACTTTAACAAGCTGCTTTGCATTGGTCTCCTGCTGCTGTGACACACGGACAGTGGTTTTTAAATGGTCTGCTGGGTAGCCCATGCCTTCCTGCTGCTCAGGTGGAGCATTGGTCGCATCCCTATCCTGGTTAACAGCTCTTTCCCTCTCCACAGAGCTGGACCGGGGCCTGACCGAACCCCAGATTCAAGTGATTTGCCGCCAGATGTTGGAAGCTCTCCATTACCTCCACAGCAAAAAGATCATCCACCGTGACCTGAAGGCGGGCAATGTGCTCCTCACCCAGGATGGGGACATCAAGCTGGGTGAGCTGCACAGTGGGTGCTCACTTGGCAGAGCTCACTGGGAGAGTGGCCATGGGTGATGGTGCTGCTTGGGACCGTTTCACACTACACTAACAATAGCTGTGTGCTCTGGAGAGCTGGACTGTAGTGTTTGGCTATGCCCAAGCACAGGATGGGATTGAGTGATGCTCTCCAAGTCTACCAGTCTACCAAGGCCAAATCTCCCATCAAGCTGTGTGCTGTGCTTAGCTCCTAGCTGGGCACTGGGATTCCCTGAGCCACAGCCGTGCTCAGGCCCTTGGTACACTTTCCTTTTGTGAATTTGTTTAATCCCTCTTTGAACTTGATTTTTGTGCTTTTTGGCCCGGCGAGCATCCTGTGCAAGGTGCCAGTTGGCAGGGCTGGGAGCTGGAAGAATTCGTCTTATCTCCAGAGCAGGTCTGGTGGTGACAGGGCGAGTTTTGCCAAAGGGTTGCTTTGCCAACTTGCTATGGGCTGGAGTTAAATTGGCGTCTACCTGCCTGCTGGGGGATGAGAGGGTGCCTTTGTCTGTAGGGTCCAGTCAGAAAGGTGCAAGTCTTTTCTAGACCCTGATGAAGGGTGCTGGCAGCTGTGGGGATGTGTCTTGGGATTATGGACACTAGCCAGCCTGGGAAGATGGAAACCTTCCCATGACCATGGGCTCTGCTCTGACATAAGTGCTCTACCGGCTTTGGCCAAGGATGACCCACAGTCAGGGACACCCTGAGCCTGGGGTGCAGATGGATAACAGCTCCTCCAGAGGTCATCAGGGCCATCTTAGAGAACAAACTGACCTGGAGCAGGCTTGGTACCCTCTAAAGGTCTTACCAATGTGATTTGGGTTGGGTTGGCTTCAGCAGGTCTCTACAGAAGGGACAAAGCCAGGGAAAGGCATCACACAGTGGCTGCTGTGCATGGGGCTGAAGGGAAGAGAAAGGATGTTAACAGTGCTTTTGTGTTTCTGGTGCAAACGGAGACTTTTTGCTATGAAATAGCAGTTCTGAAAGTAATCTGACACAGAACTACTTTTATTTGTTTGTGGAAAAGATCTCGACTTCCTTCGAGATGTGTAGGGTTTGCATTACAGTAGGGGTGGCCTGTTATATGCCCCTGTCTCTCAGTACAGGGGAGGGGAAGGTCCCTGGTCATTGCCTACCCAAAAGCAAATTTAATTTCTGATGCAGGGTTAGAGGAAACAGCACATTGTATCATGTTTTTGCCTTAAATGTGTGTTTGCTTTTAAATCTGTATTTCAGACAAGTGTGCTAATTCAGAGGGGTCTTTCAGTTTTCCTATAGCATCTAATGTTACTGCTCTTTGCAGCTGACTTTGGAGTGTCTGCCAAAAACATGAAAACCTTGCAGAAGCGAGACTCCTTCATTGGGACCCCTTACTGGTGAGTAACCTGCTTGCTAAGAAATCCTATGTTCATGAGGAGCTTCATTCTGCTGTAAATCAGAACTGGGGAGCTGATGGCCTCTGGGATGTGTTGGACCATAGGGACTTACCAGGCGTGGGTGGGAGGATTTTAACAAAGAGTTTGGGCCAGTGTCCACACGTGCAAGGATTTCCCATGCCTGAAGGGAGCTGTGGGAGCATTGCCCAGTGTCACGGTGCCCTGAGCTGCCCAAGGGGCCACCATGCTCCAGGCTTGGAGGATTTAGGGACGCACACCCACACATATGAGCTCGCGTGTGTGCACCTGCACTGCCCCCAGCCAGGGGGGTTGGAGTGGGCTTTGAAGCAGCTCCAAGCACGTGGGAACGACTTCTCACTCCAGAAATGCAATCTCTAAATCACCTAACTTGCTGAAGGAACGGAATCGGTGAGGATTAATTTATTGTCTGAAGCAACATCCGCGCCAGATGTCAATGGCCTGAGGGTTTTCGTGGGCTGTCTCGGCTGGTCTGTGGAAGAGGGAGGGGGTTGAACCCCTTAGAAAAGATGCTGCTGCTTCTGAAATCCAGAGCTGGGAGAAAAGACTGTATTTTGTGCAATGCTGTGATTTATTTAAAGCATTTAATCGCTGCTGTGAGGCTCACGTGCCTGATGTCGGTGTCATCCCTTACCATCCCTGCTCCTTGCTCTGCCCCTTGTAGGATGGCCCCAGAGGTGGTGATGTGCGAGACCATGAAGGACACCCCGTACGACTACAAGGCAGACATCTGGTCACTGGGAATCACGCTGATCGAAATGGCCCAGATCGAGCCCCCCCACCATGAGCTCAACCCCATGAGAGTCCTGCTG